CCTTTCTCGCAACCGACAAATTAAATAACAGAAAACCAAATGCAAATTCTTGCACCTCAAGGAAAGGAAGACTCGATTTACCATTTAAATCCACCTTTGAGTCAAAAGAAAATGTTCTTTGTTTGGACGTTTTCAATCTTCCACCTACGAATGTTTTGCTACGACTGTTTTGTCGTTTGCTCTTAAAGTTGTACAAACGGACATGAGACGAAATAAATTTCATCCCTAAACAAAAATAATTCGGAACCTTTGGTGGCATGTATTTATATGATTTCCAAGAAAGACCGCACGACATCGACAAATAAGAACACAAACATGAAAAACACGCAACGTTGCTTGATGTATTTCATAGTCCATTATTATGAAAAATAACAGCTTTACTCAAGCTAAACCAACGTGTTTTCAAACGAGAGAAGTAAAAAAGTAACCTTCCAGACAAGTTATATCAAAGCTTAATATTTCCAGTTTCTGTCTTATTGCTTAGAACCTAACCGACAATAAGCATACTTTTGAATTATCTCTTTTTTAGTTTTAGCTTAATCATTCAGTTTATTTCTATGCCGACTCGCTGAGAGGAAAGAAAATATAGACCTTCCTTTCTAAATTCGCAACCATTCAATCTAATAGGAACTTGATGCTGAGGTAACAAAGTCATCGAGAATGAGAAATTCGTTCGTTACACGTAGAGAAGCTTTGCAACAATATGATTTGAATATACCTTACGTAAGTCAGAATCTCGTCCACTGTGCCTGTTTTTTCCCTTGAAACAGCATACTTATCTAAAAGCCACTTTAGAAGGTCTCAGTCCGTAGCGAGTATTGAGTATAAGTCGCAAAATCGTGTAAAGTTTGTGTGTAAAGCTTTATTCACACAGTGTAGCCCAGTCAGCTGTAAGGCTGGTATCCATAGGGGTCCTGTTTCTTAAAAATAATTTACATCGAGATTTTCAATTTTATATATATATGACTAGAATTTTAAAACTACATTTACAGCCTAAAACTACAAAGCCAAAACACAATTAAGACCGAAAATAGTAGAAAAAATATCAAGTTAAGATAAAAAGAAATGTCTTGCTCGGCGGTAGAGCGTTTAAATGTTTTCACTCTTCAAAATGTTTAAAGGGAGTTTATTAAAAATTTTCTGCCCCAGTAAGAGAGAAGATTTCCTCTTTTAATTTCCTCTTTCGCATGATAAGACAGTGGATACAACTTTCCCTTGCTAGTGTGTTTTTACAAAGATATCTACCTCATAACCTCACGCTGTTATAAAACAAGAAAACGATCTAGTAGTTTTCGGAAGGGTCCAGTAGTAGTAGTAGTAGTAGAAACTTTATTAAAGTGTCAAAAACCGTCTAGCCAGGGAACAAATCCCCTACTAATTTGGGGACACCAGGCCTTTTAAGTAGCATTCTTTGAACTCGATTTCGCCACATTTTAAGAAGTTTTTCAGAAAAAGAAAATTAATCGCTGAGAGTATACTCGGGCACCGTGACCAGGCAATATAGATAAACACCTTTCGTGGAAAACCAATGTTTTCATGACCCCTACCATAGGCACCGCAGTTCTTGCAAACCTTAAAACAGAACAATTTCCAAGAAATCTTGTGGACAGTAAATTTAGTGTTTGCCTTTCAGTTATTGTTTAAACTATTGCGTTTGCCAAACCAAATTAGTTCTATATAGCTTCAGGGGAATGAAAAATGATGTGATTCTTTTTACTCAACGTGATATACATTTTCCAAGAAAATCTTGTGGACAGTAAATTTGGCGTTTGACTCTCAGTTATTGTTTAAATCAATGCGTTTTCCGAACTTGTTTAATTCTTAATACCTTCAGGCAAATGAAAATTTTTGTGGTTCGTTTTACTCAATTGTGATGCACATTTTCCAAGAAAATCTTGTGGACTGTAAATTTAGTGTTTGTCTATCGGTTATTGTTTAAACCATTGCGTTTGCCGAACCAGTTTAGTTCTTAATAACTCCAGGCGAATAAAAATGTTGCAGTTTGTTTCAGTCAATCGTGATGCATAAAACGGCAACAGAATCCTAGAACTTCTTGCAAAGGTAAGAACATCTAAAAAATGGCAGAAGTTTTGCGTTACAAAAGCACATCAATAATTCGAAAAGTCAAATTAGTTAAAAAGTCGCGATTTTCTCGGCTGATCGATGATGCTAAAATCGCCGATCGTATCCAGTTTTCGAAAGCTGAATACACACAAATGTTGACCTAAGACGACGATATTCAGCATCTTAAAGTTTCAAATGAAAATCTTAAACACAACTGCAACAAAGTGTGCCGTTGACGCGAACTGCGATTCTTGTAATGATCAGAATACGTCATTAACTTCCCAAATTTGGTTTCACTAAAGAGATCAAACTTCTATTTATTTGATTTTGGATTGGCAAGTCCTCAATAAATTGCTCGTCATCTTGAGATGTTGGCAAACCCATCTGTGGTAAATTTCTGTTTTAGAACCTTAAAAAACCGCATTCTTAAGAAAATTAACTGTCAAACTCCTCAATCAGATTGGACAGGTTCCTACGCGATCTATTCTCAGGGACCCTTTCACACTAAAAGCGAACATAATCTCAACCAGAGCCGGCTTGTTCTTCAAAGATAATCCGTCAATATTCTTCTGCGCGGGAAATCGCGATATTAAATGTTTACCACAGAAAGACTTTACCCGAAGGCACGATTTCCACTGACACGATCATAAACGACCAGGTTTTTCTACGAAAGGGAAATGTTTCCGCCATCAATATCGCTTTAATTAATCAACGACAAACCGTTTTGTATGGACATGTGTTGTTTGTGTTGTTTGATTACGGGTAATTCAAAACTGAGTCGCTTGTGACACAGATTCCCACCAAATGAGAATGTGTTCACGTTCACATAGGTAACAAGATACATCATTGGCATTTTGTCTTCATATGTAATAACAGCGCTAACAGGTTTGTATTGAGATACTGCTACTGAAACTGCTTTCCTGCTGGAATTAGCACCCAAAATTAGCCCGCTATGTTGTGTTTCAATCAGGCTTTTATTTGAGATTTACTGCATCCAATTCTGGGAAAGATATAAAAAAGAAAATACCTTCCTCTGAATCTTTTCTGAGGGACATATTTTTCTCAAAGAATTTGTCAAAGGTATTCCTTATTCGTCATGAAAGACAACAAGATATGAATTCTCGGTCTATGCACTTAGCTACGGCGAGCTACCTTTACTTTCTCAACTGACTGACTTTAATGCTATTGTAGAGGGGCAAGCCCTAATTTTATTTTTCAAATAAGGTTCAGTTAGACTTCAATTTAAAATTACGTATAGGTATAAAAAGGTCTATCAATTGGATGAGGATCGTATTGGAGACTATTACATATTTTTGTGAAGATTTTTCATCAGTAACCAGATGGGAAAATAATTATACAAAATTATTTCACAAATATCTCACATAAGACGCTTCGATGCGTAACCATAAAACATCAGACCAAGATGTAATAGCAATTTTATTATAAACTACTTCATTGCACGTAACCGCCATTCATTTCTACACATTTCTTTTGTCTGTTTCACATGTCAAAACACTCAAAGGGTGACTTACTCGCCCGAGGTGCCACCTCTTTGCTCTTACCGTTTTTTCACATTTTCACAGTAACAAATGTTTTTTTTTTTTGGCTCACGGAGAGGTACATATACCATGCTCAGGAAAATAGGCAGACGTGGGAGTAAGCTGCTTCATATGTTTTATTAAGAGATAAGTATTATCACCAATACAGGCTGCATTTTAAGAAAACATTACATTTTACCCATGGTCTGTAAAATTGTTACATAATTGTATATCATCCCTGATGGAAAGTACCTATATAATTTGCTTATTATTTTGGTAACGACCAGCACACGACCAAACTCAATGCTCCATTTTTTCTGGGAAAAACTCCACTTCAGTCGCACACGGTATTCATGATATATCGAAATGGTGAGATGAATTTAAAGTGATGAAAGATTGACCCGACAAATTTTTTTTATCATGAACCAAAAGCACCGCGAGCAACACTGAGTTCAACAGTGGCATAAGATCACTATAGGCAAAAATGAAAACATTACTTCTTGCTCTGTACTACCCTAGCATATTGCCTGGAAAGTCAAATTTAGGAATTTCAACACCCTCTTAGATGACAATGATTTTACACACACCAAGGAAAATCACGTTTGTCTTGCTAAGTATAAGCGGTCAAAAACTTAATTACAAGCCACGGTCGTTATGGCCGCTAGCCAAATAAGTCAGTCATGCTTACTTGCGCCAAAAGAATACCCCTTCATTGTACAAAATTTAACCTTAAATTTAGTCCAGAATAAGGTTATCGATAATTCCCTGGATAAGCTTCTTGAGAAATCAGATTATTCACTCTTCACCTTTTGTAAGTAAGACCCTCCATCAAATTTATCTACGACCTCTTTCAGAGAAGGCAGGGTCTCCTCTAACGTTACTTTGCACTTCATAAAACAGCGCCTGGATTCTTCCAATTCGCGTTTGACTTGGTTGTCTTCACGGAGTATCTGAACGTCGCTGTAATATTCTTGAACTTTGCGCACGAGGAACACTGACAGTGGGATTAACAGACCACCTTTCCAAACGCCTGGCATGGAAAATTCGGTTTCCGTCTTGTATGTGGTTATGTAAGCCCAGTAAAACCAATCTATAGAAAGAAAACAGAGATAGAAAAAATAATGTTTATTATAATGATAACAAAGATGTAGTCATTGACGACGTGGATCGCGACGTTTCGACTGCACACTTATGGTTTCCTTAAGCAATAAGGTTGACCGTGTTATGGCGTTATGGCGGTTGGCTATTTTTGAACGCCTCTGTTTCCCAGTCGTTGGAAGTGTCTTTGTCTTGCGTTACCTCGGAATAGGTCAGTAAGAGGTATTTGTGCGCTCTTTTGGAATGTGCACTTCCCTGTAGTGAGAATCATGGTTTCTCTGATTAAATAGGTTTAGATATCGGGCACACGGTCCGTTTGGAAGAGTAGTTAAGTTGAAACATTCTCCAGCACAATTATATCCTGATGCTGTCATATATCTTTCTGATTTGAAAAGCCAAGAGGCCAATGTCAGATGCAACTAAACGAACGCCCTTCTGCGAGCGACAGAAAGTTAAACTTACGTCCAATCACTGCGCTTGGGAAGAGAAGTCCTGTGATTACTTGTAAGATCGTCCACTTGACCTTAGTCTGCAGGTCTGATATCAGTCTACCCAGAAATCCTTGTGAAATGTGAATGTCGATTCCGCATTTGGCTAAACGGTCTCTCGCAATGCTCAAATCCCACTCCCATTTTATCAAGTTGACAGCTGAATGATAAGGGAAGTTGCTGAACTGCAAAATGATTTTAACATTAATGTCCTTTTAGTGGTCGGTAATTAATATATTCCTTCAGTTTAATGATAAAATCTGGTTGGCTACCTTAATTGCGATCTATTCCGCGTAGAGCGGGAGTACTGTAGGTATCTTAACAGTTAATAAAACTGGATAAAACACGATGAAGCACCTGTCTTGTTGTTCACTTTTGAACGACCTCTAGATTGATACCAAAAGAATTAGGTTGTTCGCTCTCGATTGCAAGTGAAAGAAATCACGAGCCAATGATCTTATTGTTGAATAGTAAAGTGGCCACGGTTGGTTAAGCTTTCGAAGAGGTTGTTAATTTAGGAAGAAGTGCTATTGATGGTGGCAATAAAGTTTTATAGGTGGCATCGGATGACAGGTAATAACAATTATGGTAGTAATGGTGTTGCTGTTAATATTAGTGCATGTAGATATTGTAAGTGGTTGGTGGTGGCGGTTGTATCGAAAAGCATTATCTTGCAGAAGCTGTAGCAATACATTCTTGCACTTGTTTGTGAACCCTATAATGCCAGGTGGGTTTTTTGTAATTCCTGACTATTTTTGAGAAATAGCTATACAGGATAAACAGCCCTGCAACTATTAATCAAATATCTTCTGTACGATATTAAACCGTAACACAAACCAATACAGACGTAAATGTAACGGATCAAGGCTTAGCTTAAAAGTTAATATAGCTAAATTACTTGACGCTGTGAGTATATTGATGAACTTGAAAATTTACCTTTTCCTCCAATTTGTTTCCCTCATGGGAGATTTCCTTCAGCCGAAGTTTTATTTCTTCACCATCAAGTTTCACTTTGTCTCGTTCTTCGACGTTTATAGGGGGAATCTGGAAAAAATATTGAACCGCTGAACGCGCTATGGTGCAAAAGATGGTGAAGGATCCCCCTGGCAAGTTAAACAAAGCTACCAGCAGGGCTGCAATGACTTCAGCCAGCCTTTTTGCCGCTGAAGGATTTTCACTCTCCATTTCTTGTGGCGGCCGCGGAAGAGCTAATTCAGAACTTTGTGGACCGCCAGTTTCTTGACGAGGGGTCGCCATTGTGTCTCTGTCCACCAATCAAGTATGTACTACTAGATGGTAGAAAGCTTTTAATTAAAAAAAATGCATATTTATAGTACCTTTTTGGTCTCAAGGTAGAAAGATCTAGGGAAAAACAGAAATAAACTAAGTCTCTCATAGATTGTGTAACCTAACTCAACAAATAATTTTTCTCAATCACGACAGGTCCGCTTTAAACGAATTATTGTTGCTTATCGGCCAAAGTTGTTCTACTTCAAAGTCGCGTATTTGGTTAGCCTTTGAAAAATTTACTCTTGCTGGTTTATCCCATACTGCACTCGAAATCATGCGATCACGTTAACAAATAGCTTCGATTTCTTGGTATTCCAAATCTGTCCTACGTGTACGTTTCGCCATCTTGTCCTGGATTGTAAACGCCATTATATGACCACCACGTTCCAGACAGTCCGTCGGTAAATAGAAAAACTTTGCACTGCGTATATTGAGTCTGGCATATCTGCTCTGAAAAATGTTTCACTAATGAATAAAACGTCTAATTATGGTTTGCCAGAGCCACAGTCTCGTGATAGGTAGAGCTTTCGATTCGTAAACCATTTTCGCCCAGACCAAGGTTAACCTTTTGTCGTCCGTGTTAAAAACACTTGATGCTGAGGAGAAATACTCTAGTGTAGACGAGACGGTCGAGTCTGAGAATGAGAAATTTATGCTTTCGTCATCAGGCCCGGGGTTTGTGGATATATCATTGAAGGGAGCAACAGGCGATGATTTTGAAATAAAACAAACCTCAGTGGGTGAAGAATGTCCATGACAAGTTTAAAATCGAATGAACCAAAGGAATAGCAGTCGACTTGCATTGCTTTGACTGTGGAAAAGCTAAGCTTGGCAAAGGAACCACTAATCCTTCCAGACTATAGTCATCGTAAAGAATTCGCTCATTTGGGTAAAAAAAAAACCAAGGCGAGACTGATAAAAAGGAAAATTGTAACAAAAAGGGCGGACACTGACTGCCGTGCCACCATATCTCATTCTAACAAATAAAGTCTGTTTCTTGCAAGAACAAAGCCTCTTGGTTTTGCTCTCTCGAATTCAAGAAAGAACTGAAGAGTCGAATATTTATCAACCGAGCCGCAAAAGTTTCGTTTTTACGAAACAGATTACCTGATTCAACCTATCAAAACTAGGAGAAATTTCATCGCACTAAGCAGTTGCAGCATCAAAAGAAAGTAATAGATGATTCTTTACAGTTAAAACTGAACAAGTAATTTACTTGAGTCGATATTACATTAAAGTCGAACAGTGAAGAGTGCTTAGGCGTGCTAACTGTTGATTGATGTCGTGTGTTGAAAGCGAACGACACGACAACTCGGCCTCAATTGACCAAATATTCTGTTGCAAATGACTTACCAGAATTCTTTATCGAAATGTCGTAGCAGCAGGCGAATGAAAGCTGACTTAGCTAGGAAAAGCTTGATAAGAAATTTCGGCCTTTGAAGCAAAAACCAAACTATGCTGCGTTAATCGTTTGTGAAGCCTTTTCCTTCTGCGACTATCTTAGTCACCTGACTCAGTCCCAGGATGCATCAGTAGGGGTAATTCACAGTTTGGACATATGCAAAATTCCCCTTGTTAACTATTTTATTCACCGCTCGCAATTTTTTTTTAAGATATTAGCTAGAAATTTCTTACATTTCATAGATTAAGGAACAAAAAAACCTTTGGCGGTTTGCATTTCTGTGAATTCTAAGAAATAATTCATAGAAATATACGCCGTGGGGACGACATTGGCGACATAGAATCTTAATGTAACTTGAAAACAAGCAACATTTGCCTGATTATTTGTTTACTTCTAAAACATTTTTTTCGGTGATATAGACTTGTTACTTCTTCATGAACATTTACAACTTTGGTGATTTTAAAGAAAAGAAATATGTCAAAGCAAACACTGAGTATCTAAGTTTTCGCCTTTTTCTCAGAAACAGATAAAAAATTTACATAAAACCGAGTGATCTGTTTTCTGAGCTTTTTTTTTAGTGAGTTTATTTCGCTCCCCAGAACTGGGAAGAAAAATAGGATACATTGCTTCTTAAATTTAGAATCCTCCTCCAAACCGCACTCAAACTTAACAAAGCCAACAGGAATGAGAAATTCGATCGTTTCACATGAAAAAGCTTAGCAATGATATGAATTGAATTGGTCTTGCTCCTGCGGAAGATCTTGTCCACTGTTATATAGGCGTTCGACTGATCGCATGAAGTTTCGTTGGCTTTTTTTTTTTCTTCCCTTGAGGTAGCTTAAGGGGTTTCTTTACAATAACACGTAGGATCATTACCTTAGCGGCCCCTTCAGCATGATATGGTGTGATTGTGGACAAAACTTCCTCTTGCTAGTGTATTTGCATAAACACATCTATCTCATAATTCCATACAGTTGTGGAACAGTTTTGATTCCAAGTTTCCACATTTGCTAATTCCTTGTAGGATAAAAGACAGTTGGATGATGTCGCTCGTTATAAACAGTTTAAAATATTCCCTGTATGCCAGCTGAAAAATGTTTTGCGATTCTTGAAATTCAAGCAGCCGTAGATTTTCCTAGAAAATTACTTCCAGTTTGAAATTTAAATTTTTCTCATCGTCATTGTTTTTTTTACAACTATCGACGTGCCTGCTCTAAAACGTACACTTAGCTCGAAGCAGTGACAGAATCACTCTCTGTAAATTAATTACAACTCAAAATTGGTAAAATTTTTATGTTTAAAGTTGTATTGTGAAGTCATAGTACTGAATTTGTGAAGGGTTTCGATTTGCTTGGCTGAGTGATGTGACTTCAGTCGCCAATCACTATCATCTTTCAAATGCTGAGGAGACAAAACTTCGTAATAGAAGCAATTTCAACCCTCAGTTTCATTCTTTACAAATATCCGTGCAAGTTGTTAGGGCCTAAATTTTTGACATCTCAGAACTTTCGTCTGTAACTTCCACAGTTTGGTTTAGTCGCAAAGACCGACGCTCTATTCTTGTGATGGTCATTTGTTCCAAGAGATGATCTTAAGTTCCCATTAGACAAGGGAACAGGGTTAAGCGTGGTCTACTACATGGAACATGTTCATAAAGAAGAGCCATCATATTCTTAAGCGAAACTGATAGGAATTATCCCTTGAAAGTGAAAGACGTGACAAGGAAAGTCGCTGAATGTCATATATAATATTTTTAACCCACAAAGTATTTTGTCAAAGGAACTGGTCTGCGGGGTTCAGTTTAACCATACGACAAGAACTACGAGTGAGGCGTTTACAATAGAAGCCAACGCTCACTAGTAATTCTAAAACGTTTTCGAGTGGAAATGATCGCACGATTTTCGTAATTGTAAAGAAATAAGGCCAACATTTTTTTTCTAAGAAAAGGAACAAAGCTGAGAGAGACGGCGCTTTGTTGACTTACATAAACAAGGACTTACTTTGATAGTCAATTGATTTAAAACTAAACTCGTTTGTGAGATAAAATTGAATATAAAACTCGATAAGTCAACTAGGTGATGACCGAGTTTCGGTCATCTTGTTGATGTATGGTCTTATATTTATGGTTCCTAGTCAATTGGGCAGTGTACACACTCTAGATCTGTTCACAATTTGGCTATTACTGCAATACTCTACAACTGTACAACAGTAGACATATGTAGTCATGGACTGCCTTTTATTCTTATGGAGCTCCTTAAAGCAGAACCACTCACATAAAACTAATCCATGTTTATCTCCTGGAATCCGTGGGTGTCCGCCTAATACAGATTGACTACATTGACGGAACGCCCTGCGAAAGAAAAAATAGCGTGACGTTTGCGTGATTAAGTGATTCATATAGCAGGAACATGAGTTAATAAGCGGACTGAGGGCGAGTGACTGAGCTGAAAAACGTCCACGCGGGCTCACAAGTGAAGCAATAGCAACACTGGACCAGAACAGCGAAATTTTTGAAAAATTGAAAGGCACAGACTGCCCTTTAACAGGGGCGCGAAATATCCTCAGCACACCATCGTTTTATCCTTAAACACTTGCTGAAAGTTAGTCACCTTGAACTGTAGATAAGCATGCTGGGCGGTCCTCAACAACAGTCTGTGTAAGTCTTCTAAATAGCGGTTAATGGATGGATAATGGATGTAGAGGCTTTCGATGGCTTTCAAACTAACGCCGTTTTAATTAACACATACTGTTACTGTTGACATGTGCGAACGTTTTTAAATTTTCTGGATAACTCCATATAGATTCTGTACTTCTCCTCTCATTTGACTGGCAATATTGATATAAAGCTGAAACCAGCGGATACTTGACTGCAATTCTCCATGCTCCTGTTTTGAAGTCGTCACCTCCACCATTCCCTCAGCTTTATTGAAAAGGAATGCATTCTCTACGAGGTTCTCTGCAACCTGGGAAATTCTTTGACTGATTAACTCTGTTTCTCCATCAATTCCACCTTCTCCTTCACTCGTGTACGTGCTACGTAAATTTGCCGGCAGCTGGAAAATCATTCGCAAGTCCCCTCTGATGCTTATGTGCTTATGCCAAATATGTTGAGACCTGCCTATATGACTCCTATAATTTTCTCAAGTATGTTTCGTTCGCCATTATTTGCGTCCTGCAGCATATTTCTAAACAAAATTTAATTAAGGTCATTCTGTTCGAATAATGAAGCATATCATTTGAACCAATGGATTAAGTGTAGGGTCTTCAGGACCCTCAAGGGCATACTCGCAGTGTGTTAAGCCTAAGTAAATTGCCATCAGGGGCGAAGCCAAGATGTTTCAAAGGAGAGTCACACCGTGTCAAACAGGGGTTATTCACCAGAATATATCTAAACACAATTGTACATCACAGCCGCAGGAACCGAATAAACGCGATTATTCCTTGTCTACCCTACATGTGGGGGTGGCTAGAATACCCACATTGTAATTGATAAGGTGACCCAGTTATTGTTTTAGATCCTGAGTACACAAAATCCTCACAACTGGCAAACAACAGAAAATGTGTACTCCTGGGAGTACACATTGACTCAAATCTTAAATGGGAATTT